CTCTTAAGACCAGAAAGTTCTTCCTAAAGTTTTTTCAGAGGTATTTTGTACGTTTGTTGTGTGCCTTCAAGTTGTTCTCAACTTATGGCAACCCTGTGACCGACGGTTTTCTTGGCCAAATTTGTTCATTTGTTCCTCTGAAGCTGAGAGTGTGTGACTTGCTCAAGATCACACAGTGGGTTTCCATGGCAGAGAGGGGAATTTGAACCCTGGTCTCCAGAATCAGAGTCCAACACGCAAACCACTGGACCACACTGGTACTGGTAAGTATGTTCATGGAACAGGTTGAGTTTCCCTGTTTCCCAGAAATGTTTTGGATTTTGGAGTTTTTTTGGATTTTGGAATATGTGCATATACATAATGAGATACCTTGGAGATGAGATCCAAATCTAAACATGAAATTCATTTATGTTTCACATACATACGCCTTATACACGTAGCCCAAAGGTAATTTGGTACAAGATTTTTAGTAATTTTGTGCATGAAACCCTAGCAAAGAAGACTGGCTTTGGAAACTGTATGACATCTTAGAAATGGACAAATTTTCACAATTACTTAAAGGCTGTCCTCCGAAGAAATACAATAGCGATTGGGAAAAAGTTATTAAGTTTATAAGAGAGCAATGTGGAGGGATTGCAACGATTAATTTGTCAGGATAATATAGGATATGTTTATTACAAGTACTTAGATAAAGCTAAGTCAGGTAGATAGAAACAAAGATTTATGTTAATACGCATTTAATTGATAATGATAATATATATTATATTAGTGGAGAGAATAGGTTAAGATAAGCATTGTGATAGATATGATTTAATTTGAATTGAATTTAATTAAGGAAGAAACGAAGAGAGTGATAAGAAGTTAATATGATGATTTTCATCATTGGGCTTGGTAGTGAGGAAGTTTAATTGTTTGTTTTTGTGTATTGTATTGTATTATGTATTTTTATTGTGTATTGTACTGTTGGTGTTTGTTTTTTGTTTTTGTTTGTCTATGTTATATTCAACATGCAACAATAAAAATTTATTTAAAAAAATAAAATAATAATTTTGTGCATGAAACAAACTTTGTGTCCATTGAACCATCACTGTCTCAGCCTCCCATGTGGACAATTTTGGAAGATTTCAGAATTCCAGAGAAGGGAGATTCAACCTGTATCCTTTTTTTAAAATGAGGACTCACAAAAAAATATGAATTGGAACCGATCTCTTTTCACCTTAGAGGTCTGTGTAGATTTTCATTCCTCACCATAAACTGATCAAAGGAAAGCATTCAGGAGATTAAGGGAAACTTTGCAGTCGCGTAAAATCAAGGCCAATCCCTGAATTACCTATTTTCACAAACACACAGCTGGGCTCTTTCTTGGAAGACAGCATGTACTCCTTCAAAAGCCACAACACACCTTTGCACTAACTCAAAGCCAGCTGGAAAAGCCGCAGCGGATGTGACTCTTGGTTCCAGTTTTTTTAATGGGGCTTTTAAAGACATTAATTGGGACGTACACTGCTTTGGGTGTTTGGCAAAGCAACACAACACACACGTATCTAAATGAAACAAAAGCCAAGATCCTCCTTGATGCTTTGTTTGTTTGTTGTTATGTGCCTTCCAGTTGACTCAAACCCAAAACTCAGACCACTATGAAATGCCGGATCCCACTTCCAAATCCACTCCAAATTATGAGGATCCCCTCTCCAAGGGTTTTCTTGGCAAGATTTGTTCAGAGGGGGTTTGCCACTGTCATCTTCTGAGGCTGAGAGAGTGTGACTTGCCCAAAGTCATTCAGTGGGTTGCCACATCTAAGTTGAGATGGCAATCCTGGTTTCCCAAAGTATTAGTCCAACATACAAGCCACGACTGCGCCACACCGGCTCCATCACATGGTGCTTCCATGGTGTAAATCAG